ATATATATATATATATATATATATATATATATATATATATATATATATATATATATATATATATATATATATATATAAAGGTATTTTTGCAGAGACAAAATTATCCTAAATTTTAATTTAGGATATGTGTGTATCCACCAAATATTTAAAGACTTCATTTATGTCGTTGATAATTAAAATTTAGAATATTTTTCTTTCTCATATTTATTATTTTACATGATAGTTTTATTTCTCTTCTTCTCGCTAGTACTATACACTTGGAACTTAGGAGAGAAACATATATTTTAGTCTTTTTAAGGAAGATAATAACAGATATTTTTACAATGAACTGATGAACACAGAGTAAGCATATGGGAAACTTTTTATCTTATACGGGAACATATTTTAGAATTAAATTTAGAAGAATAAATATTTATTTAATTCGAAAGAATATATTTTTAAATTTTGATTTTATTTTTTATTTTACAAATCGAAGTATTTTGGGTTTCAAATTTATAATTAGAAGCATTCATGTTACAACCAGTTCAGGTGGAAGACAGTAGATTAGGTGGGAAACCTTTAATGCCAAACAGCCTTACATATTACAACCAGTTCAGCAGATGTATTAATAAAAGAAGGTAGGAAGTATGCAGATTACATCTTCTATCCATGTAAGTCTCCACACAAATGACAACTAGGATATAAAAGGAACAAAGCATTGAAACAATTGGCAGATTCTGCTCTCAGAAAAAGCAGATTCTTCTTTTTCTGAGAACAAAAGCACAGATGCAGACACCCATTATCCACAGCATCCAATTCACCATTCATTCCCCAGCAAATGGATATTATCCACCCAATTTCACATGTAATTTTCTCTCTGTATGCATATATTTTGTGGCAGGAGAAAGAGGAAGTGGGACAACAATCAACCGGACAACTTTGCTTGGCAGTGTCATTTTCACAGTTGACAGCATATGCATCATTACTATGTTTCATCAACATGGAACATTTTCATGTATTACAGCAACCTGAACATAGAATTCTCATCCATATACATGATGAATCTATATCGACAATAAATACATATACATTGAGGAAAAAAGTGGAATAAATTTCTATATTGCTTCAACATCGAGATCTTATTCATCAGTTTAGCAATCAATGTGTTAGTTGTGTGTTAGTATGGAATCAAGAACATTCACAAAATTTATGATCCTGTTCTCAGAGAGGTTTGCACATGCACCCTGGGGTCATTGGCAACCTGTAGATACTCCTACCTCTGCGCCGTGCAATCACTCTCTGGTTCTCTTGAATCATCTTCCTCACTCTTTCTTCGAAGTCGACCCATTGTATAGTCCTGTTCTCAGACAAGATCCGAGCAAACCGTTTCTTGTTTGGTCGTATTGTAGGGGCGTGACCTCTACCATGGTATATACGATAACCATTGACCAGCGATGAGAGCTGGCTTCCCGAATCAGTCATTGCAAACACATCAGCTGTTGCGCATGCTATGAAATCTAGTGCTGCTAACTGTGTTAACAATAAGGTTTTAGTATTTTACCAGAAAAATTATTATATACAGCTTAAAGAAGGCTGAATTAGAAAACAGAGAAATTGAAACAAAGATCCAACATTTGACAACTGTGAACAGAAAAAATAGATATGAACTTGACTCGTTGTTTCCATCTGTATGTTTACTTGATATACATATATCACTCATACGATATGATGGGTCCAAGCATCGTGCATATCATAGCAGAAATTGAGATATGGCTGATGAAATCTAAAGGTTCTCAACTTGTGTGACAACTTGAAATGGAAGTATTTGCACATCTTTTTTCAGGCGTTTGCATTTGCTATGATATTAGTTCCTTATTAGTGGAAGATGGAATTCATCATCCTAAAGAGATGTGTCTCAAGTTAATTTAATTTTTCAAAATTAGGTCTATAAGCTTTCTATTGTTGGTGTTAATAATATTGCAAGCTCTAATGGCCAAAGTTTAATCAGTTCATTAGCCACTTATTGTTGTTTGGCCATATTGTTGGGGCATGACGCCCTGCCATGGTATATAACTTTACAAAGGTATCTACTTTTACAAATCACCGAGAAATGAAAGCTGGCTCCCAGAATCTGTCACTGATAAACACATCAGCAGTTGGAGATGTTATGAAATGTAGCAGTGCTAACTGTTTAACAATTAGCTTTTAGTTTAACATGAAGTTAACCTTGATTAGAATCATATCCTCAAACAAAAAATACACATTTTACTAAATGCTACATTATAAAATGAAAATATAAAAAGGAATACAGCATTGAAGGTTGCTTGGACAGAGAAAAGAACATGAATGTAACTCTGTTGTCCTTGTTCAAAACATGTAAAGATGTTTGGAACTGCCAATGGTTGTCAACCATAATTATTATACCACCGGTACCCTATTAATCATCTAACCATCAAGCTTAATGCAGCACAAATTGACATAGTACAGTCAGACGAAAACGAGAGATCCTCAACTTCCAGTGACATATTTAAGTTAGTATCTGGATATCTCATTCAATCTTGCATCTTTGACAAAGGAAGTTGTTGAAATGATAGCCTTAAGCTTCAGGTTCACTTAAGCAAATTGACTTCGAAGTGTCTCCACAACATGGACCACTAGACACAGGACCATGCAATGGTACAAATATCTTCTTTTATTCCAAAGGGAAAAATAGTGTTTCGGGTTAAGGGACAGAAGTATTTTTCAGGAAGAAATATGAAGGAAAGAGAAAATTGTACTCTTTAATCCAAAGATGCCCTTTATCATTCAATGACAGACAAATCAGTGTTTTCTCTATTGATCAATCCACAGCCCAGTTTGAATCGTAGGATCATGGCACCTGCCCTCATCTTGGAAAGAGTCACCAAATTGAATCGTATACATATTATCGTTGAATCATGTATTATTATCTGACGTTCCTATAGGGAGACTAAGAATTGATGATCACCTCGTAAAAACTTCAATTAGATCAATGAGTATATGTTATCTTAGAATACTGGTGGATTCCAGCCCTATCTCTCTTTATCTTCATAAACTCTGATTCTAGAAATAACAATTTCTTTGATCTGTTTGATTCACCACTAAAACCTAAGAGGCTAAAAAAGTTACATTTAACATATATAACATCTGGATCAAGTAGCTCACATCAGATTGTCAGGCATGAAGTCACATAAAATCACAGGATGAATCTCTAGAAATAGTCAATGTATGTATGAACCATGATCACCCAGGTCACTGTTGTACCAAGGTCTGCCCTCTAGGTCATATATAATCACATATTGCACAAATTTCTGGTCAGCTCACCGGAATAGGACTTTAGGATTGACAAGAAGATAAGCGAATATAGAAGTTCTTATTTCTAGTAAATGGTGCATGAGACAATGTTGCACAAGAACAAGTCGAAATTGTTGAATCAAATGGAGTTAAGCTGAGACAAAGATTTGATATTTGCAAAGAACGTCGAGTCGGGTATCCTAGGTTCATGAATCAACTGAGGAATTTATATTAAAAGCTCATCATAAAGTTCTATAATTTTGTCAAAACTCTACTAAACAAGTATACAAAAGTTCGATGCATTGGTAATTGTGATGACATCTTTTTAGATTTGCATGTTATCTCCTAGTGTAAAATTATGAATGACAAGTAAATGAAGTGAGGTTTGTTTAGAGGACTGCAAAAGTCGGCAAAAGCAACACTTGTTATCTAAACTAGCACCAGTAAATTAGTAATAAATTATGCATTCAGCTGAACTTTACCTGAGAAGAATAATTCCTGAAAGGAGCAAGTTCCACAGGTGTGAGAATATCTTCTTTTGTAATTACATTTGGATAGAGCCTCGTAAACGGAAGCATTCTAGACTGACCTCCATAGATCTGAGAACCAGCAAGATAAATATAAGTCTCATGATTATAACCAAGTGCAGAAAGCATCAGTGCTGCTTCTTCTGGAGTCAGTGGGCATCTTCCCAAACTTCTCAACTCTTCTGGAGAAAGGGAACTGCAACAGAACAATGGCAGAAGAAAAATTAGGAGCAAATAACAAGGCAAAACTGATCACTTTTAGCCTATATGGAAAACCAAGTATACCACATACAACTCACTTATTGGTTTTAATGATCATGGTAAGTGTAGGAAAGTGGATCTCCCTATATGCTTGCAGTTCCTTCCTCTCTTTTTCTCCACCATCAAAATCACATAGAGAATATGCCACCATATCCATTTCAAACCTCATATGCAAAGCAAGATATCTGACAGGTCCTCTAGAAGTGTTATTTCTCTTTATTGGAGTGTCAAGCATATACTTCCCAAGCAAACATCTATCCAGAATGTTCAAACTTGTATTATATTGTCGAATTCTTCTGACAAGTAAAGAACCAATCTCTTGAATTCTGGGCACGAACTTTAATGCGTGGAAATTGCATTTGCATCTTAAACTCTGCAAGGACAAGCAGCAGAATAAAATTGTGTACTCAAAGATTCCATTTAGTAGAATGCAATGCTTGTATTTTCTTTTTCACAGGAGATAAGCAAAGAAAGGGGTGCTGCAAGTATACTACAAGAGAAGTATAATAAGCCATGAACAAATTACATCCAACTATGACACATGAAAAAATATAGAAAGAACATGTAGAAACTCAAAAAGTTTAAGAATGTCTTTGTGCATTGGCACCAAGTTAAGGTGGCTTGTTTGTGGCTTGGGTATCGTGGGTCCAAGTATTGCACAAAACCCCTTACATGCAGGGATAAGCAACTGCCTCAAATTCTGTATTCATGTTCATTAAGCTGCTTTTCCTTCATCAAGCAATTTAATCTTAATGACAAAGTCATAATTGTCATGTTTTATGGTCATTTAAATAAACAAATAGTGCTGCATTTTTGTATTGCAATATAAATATTAGCTTGGAAATCTCAAATTTAATTTGCACTAGTTTGTTACTAAAGATAAGGAGTGTCGTATCATGACATGTGAGGCAAAAAGGCTGGTGCATTTGCACTATACCAGTCCAATAGACTATCAAAGTATCTGACCACTAAGTCCATGAATGGAGGCATATCAATGTGCTCTAGTGATGATTAGCACACGTCAAAAATTTGTCTAGCCATATGTTAAATTTCTATTATAGGCTGGTATGCCATATGATTATAACATTTGTGCATAGCTGCTCATACATTCTGATCCAGTCAACCCCGGTTGATTGATATTGCTATAATTGACTAGAAAGGATTGAACCACCATCTATTCATGGAGGTAACAAAACATCAAAATCACCTGAAAATGTAACAGTTTATTATATCAACATTTGTAATGCAAAAGCACAAATACCAAAGACTAGAACATCCGGGCTCATGCGATCAGCACCCTCAAATTGAGATAGAATGAGAAACTGTGCAAATTGGTTGAATGTGTAACTAGCTTTTCATTCACCATTTGAAGTAAATGAAATTGTTAATCTTTGGAATGTAATCAGCTCAACCTATATAAATCAGACTATCCAAATATTAAATAAAAGTACAGTTTTTGTTCATCTAATGCTCAATCAGCTAACTACAAAAGATTTTATCTAAGCATTGATCGCATGGCCTGTATTAAGACCAGGATCAGATAAGGTACAGTACATTAAGATCAGTAGGAATGTTCAGATTGCATTTTTAGGATAGGAATCAATTGAGAAAATAATTTAATAATCAACATATTAAAAAGTATAAATATAACAAAAACTAGAAAAAACACAAAATAAAATCAGATAAAATGAAAAAAAAAAAAATGTTAAAAGATTCATTTATCTTTTGTTTCCCATAAAATATCCATCTTTTATAAAAAACAAAATACTAATGTAAAATAAAAAAATTTGTACAATTATATCAATAAAAATAACATAAAATAATTCATCAAAAAAATGTTATATTATTTAATTTAACAATTATAATCACATCAAGCAAAGATATAACTGTAGTACAAAATTGTTATATATCATATATGAGGTCCAAAAATTTTTTCGACAAGTAGCTTCGAGGATAATGAGAAAGCCCCACTCTTTGCTGGCATCTAATATTATGACAAGTGTCTGGTAAGAGAAAACTTATTAGACAAATTGTGATATAATAAAACCATCATTCTCTATGCTGGCATCCCTATCTCTTTAAGAAAGAAGCTCTCTTTCTTTCCCTCCTCTTATACACTTCCATTATTTCCTTTCCTTCCTACTCTTCTCCTCTTCCTTCTTCTTCTTTCCATATTGTAAAATCAACTAAAATTAGTCAAAATTGGCCAATTATAATCAAGTTTGATTAATTTTAGTCATTTCCTATTGAATTAAACTGGCCTTGGATGATATGACTGTTCTAACGCACCAGAAATGACCAATACCACAAATTATGACTTAAGAAGCTATAGTCAGAAGAAAATTTATATAACGAAAAAATACATATTATGGTCTTTTACAATAACTAACATGATATAATGAATTCAGTAAGATTTTGCTAAGGTCCTTGATCATGATAACAAGAAACAAGCACATTTTGAGATGGAAATGAAGGAAATGAAGAATATGTTCTCATTTGGGCCTGCATAAGAAAGGTCTAAGGCAAATTTTAACTTTAAATTTGGATTTATTTTTAAGGGGAAAGTATGTAATGGACAGAAAAGGAATTGTGTCATTTGCAAAACAGAATGTTCCCTCTATTCGAAACAAAAAAAAATAAGTTTTCCTTTAGTTCTGATATTCAAGCCTCCACACGATTATTTTATTGATTCTAAGAGAACATGCACTATTGTTCCTTCAAAGACTTTTTGAGGTAATTCAGAAGGTTAAAACTAAAATAAAGTGATAATTAAAACCCCTTGCAAGAACCAAAACACACATTCAGAAGGAAATGTAATATTGCATTATACACACATCAGAGAGGCGCTTTCCAAAATCTTGCTTTCTTAGAGGTTAGTGAGCATAAAATGCAAAATCAAAGATTTATCATGCTGAACGAAGTATTCCCAGACACAAAATGGCTACTACAAATTTTCAAAATTCATAAATTACAGACCATGTGGAACAAAAAAATATATATAATATTTTTCTGGGATATTTGAAGTTCTAAATACCTGAAGATCTAAAGGTAATGGATCAAAGGCAAGTCGATTTCCAAATCCAAGGAAATGAACAACACTGTTTCTTCTTAGAAGAGGAAGTATAACTTTTAGAAAATAATCCGGGGTAGATTCTTTCCTGATATCATTATCAGTAATCTGGAACATGGAAAAAAGGACCATAAATACTAAAATTAAATGCACACATATTGTATCAAGCAAGGAAGGAAACATACTAGGCTTCCAATTGCTTCAATATCAAGTGATTGAAGGTGGGAAGGCAATTCTTTTACTATATCCACATCATTCTTCAAATAATTTATGAAAAAATCCTCTTGATAAATATCACCGAACTGGCTGCAAAATATATTGGAAGTTCATTAAACACACAACATTTCATGAAAGTTTGATATTTATTGTCGGAAGCAACAAAATTAGAGATTCCTTGCAAACACAGCAATAAAATATTCCCCATAATTAGAAGCAGGATATCACAGAGATGGCCTTTATATTTATAGAGGAAATGCTGCCAAAACAGACCGTCCCCAGACCCCACATCAGCGAAAGTCACGTGCGCTGCATTTGCTCTTTTTTTTAATCAGTAGAAACAGGATATCTAGCTACTACTCTTATATGGTTTGCTGCCTAGAACTTATATTCTTGATTCTAACATGCTCTAGATTTGTGCAAGACTGTAAGTAGATGAATGCACCTCTAGGGCCAAAAATCTGGAAGCAATTATAAATATTTAGTGGAAGTGAAATATAATGGCATGATCACCAGGACTCTCATTATAATGAATCTGGAGAAGAGCATATCAACCTGAAGTAATACTGTTCATTTAATTTTGAAACTTGAAATCAATTATTCTGCTGATAGTAGTGACTGGAGTTCTTTAGAAAAGATTATTGACACAAAACACAAGAAAGAAAAGATTATGGATGTATTTTGGCTTGTTCTTTCTTTTCTAGACTCAAATTCCTCTTAGTATTACTACCTCAGTAGAAAGAATCAAAGAATTACTTAACATTTGACAAGCGCATCAATATCAAGAACAAAAAGTGCAAAAACAAAGTTTACTATTTCTCAAGACATAAATAAGTTGTAAAAAAAAGACCTTGTATCTTTCCAAACGCTGCTGTAAAGAAATTTTGGAATAACTAGACTGGCATTAAGTAGAGCAGCAACAGCAACAGCATTACAAACCTGTGAATAAAAGTTAAACATAAGATGACAAGAACACACTCAAAGCAGCACAATGATAGTATTATTGAAGGTCAAGATAGTGTAAAATATGTAGATAGTAGATACATCATAATAGTTTACAGTTTTGGTGATTGTATTTAACGAAAACATCCATGAGTTCTTAGAGTTAGTGCATATTAAATTAAATAAAGACTACGATTAATTTAGCAAGCACTTAATATCTTGCTTCCAGGTCATTGAAGACCATGTGATGATGGTTTTCAAAATTCACCACTTTGGAAATGATCACTGAGGACAAACGAAGTGAAAATTTTATGGACAGTTTCATATTTAAGGCTTCTGGTAGAACATCCCCAGTTTCAAACCTCAAAAACTTTTCTCCATAGTTCATTGAAGTATAAGTTAGCTGAAGTATACATTCCTCTAATTCTTGCTTATTCCTCCAAAAACATCACAAAAAGTGTTATATAAGAAGCATATATGAAGAAAAACAAAAAACTAATACAAGAAATTTTATTAGTCTTTTCCACAAAGATATGATGTAGAATATGAAGAACAACTTGGAATTGAGAACACAATTGAGGATTTGATAAATTATTATGACCATTTCTTGATGTTATGTACATCCCAATAAAGCAGATGCCAAGTTTCTAGTCAGGTCAACTTTTGGAATTCAACACAACTAATTGGCAGGTAGAAAACTTGTCAGGTCATACCGAACGATATATATATATATATAATCTAAAAAGGAGGCATGCGCTATCTCGGCGACGTCGCCTCAAACGAAAAGGTCTACTTCATCTCCTCATCTGCGGCGTTCAGCGAAGAAGAAGCGGCAGAATCGCAGACGAAACGACTAAGGAGACCACCTCTTCCGCTGCTCTAACTGCTGCCTAGCCGTTACCTCCTGGATCGGGATCGTCGAGGGAGGGCAGCATCGGATCGGGACGCGTCGAGGTTCTCCTGATTCTCCCTCTTCTTCGAATGCTCTCTCTTTCTTCTTGCTTCTCCCTCGACGCTTCTTCCCTCGTTGCAGCCAAGCTGATATCGCCCGGTAATGGGTGGTCATGGTCAAAATCGACCGTTATCGACCTGTTTCGGGTGGTAACAATCGAAATTTTGACCGTCACCGCCCGATATGGGGCTATATCAAGTGTTCCGCCCGATAGGAGGCAGTCCGCATACCGTTCTGTTGGCGGACCGATACGTACCACCCGGTATGAGCGGTATCATTCAAAATTTAGAACTTTGGTAAAAACTATGCTCATTATGTAGATTCAATATTTAATTTAGTCTTTAAGACAGTAAAGATGAAGTACATGATTGTCAGCAACAAATGTTCTAAATTGATGTACAATGTGCTAGTTCTCTGTTTCAGCTCAAGAGTGCAAAGTAATTTAAAACCATTAGCACTATTAATACTAAAAAATTTCCTTCGCTATGATGCCTAGTCGTTAATACCACCAAGTAGGCATTATTAATGCCAAATAGAAGTCAAACAGAAGAATGATCTTCCTAACTTTACTCATCAATTGCAAGTGTTTAGTTCAGAGCCTTACAGCAACTCGTTGCTGGTTCAGACCACCATTTGCACTCACCAATATAAACCCAGATCGTTTCCTGGTATGCCCTGCAACAATTATAAAGCACATGAGACATAAAGAACTAACAAAAATGCATGCTGATAATCTCTAGCCATTTTCTCTTGCCACTATTTATATTAACCTTTGGAGTATTGGATGGTTAAGATCATGCACATAGGATATATACAAGATTTATTATCATTCTAAAAGATTTTTGTCTGAAATATTCCTTGAGAATATAGTCAACCTCAGTTCATCTGAACCATATTAAAGCTTATACTGCATGCCTATTATTTCATTCAGTATGTTTGCTCAATAATCACTTCAACAGAGTTTATATGAATAATGCACTTTAGATATACACCCTCTTGGAATTTCCAGCTTGAAACCCTCCCAACAATTTAAGCCAACTATTTTGCGTAGAAGAAGAATGCAAAATGGATTGCCCATTAGTATGCCATCATAACTGGTTACTGTATGATGTAACTGCTCTGCCTAAATGTAACATGTCATCAACCAGACAGACATTATGCCATCATAACTGGTTACTATATGATGCAACAGCTCTGCCTAAATGTAACGTGTCATCCACCAGACAGACATCTGCTTTATGTACATAAACATGTTGAAGACTCCTTGTATGCGCTCTCTCTCTCTCTCTCTCACACACACACAAAGACTTACAGCACATCAGAACACAAATGAAACAAAGATATTTCAAATCCAAGATCGATACCATGCTTAGATGGCTGATTAAAGATCTCTTCCAATTACCATGACAAATGAAATATTACCTTGGGGAACCTGATTTAGTTTATCAGCACAAGGTCTCCATGTGGATGTTTGACTATATGGTTCCTTCAATATTTCAAATGAACCAAGTAGTGCCTCATTCTATCCACAGAAAGGTCACATCAGATGAAATTTACTACTTGGAGATGAGGTGAGTAGAAAAAATAACAAAAAAAGACAGAAATGTGTTCAGTACTAGCAAATTCAAAGGTGAACCAAACCTTTGTAACAGCAGCAGAACCCAAAGCCACAAGTCGTCCGTGCATAATCTTTTCAGTCCTTTCGCTACTAATATGACTCTGAACATCCTTCAATAATATGCATAACATAAAGCATTAGTAATCCCACAAACATCAGTTTTCATTTTAGTCAAACATATGTAGTTTTCAAATGTGTACTACTTGTATGAATTCTGAGCAAATGCTCTAGTATAGAGTTTCTTATTAACTACTTTCTAAGAGCAAAAGAACTGGATGAGGCCAAAAATTTTAAGAAAGATAAATTTATTAATGAGAAAGAGAAAAAAAAAATGGAATATATTGAAGATGGTTAGGAAATGAATATTTGAAAAGAGAATAGAGAGGTGGATGGAGAGGAGGCAGTGATATAAATGAGTTGTGAAAAATAAAACAAACAATAAAAATATAAACTGTTGATCTCCATTTTCAGCTAGTAATAATGCCTAGCTTTCCAAAGCCAAAAAATTAAATCTTTATAGTGCTTAGGCTTTCTCTTTTTCCCAGATAATTTATAACTTCTTTCCTTCCAAATGCATCATCACAAAGCTAAAATGGTGTTGTCCTAACATTTCTTCTGTTTTGCATATTGAACTTGTTTCCTCTTGTTACATATTAGAGAGAACTTGTAGAATATTTTTTAAGTCTTGCCCCCCACTTTAATGGCTTAAAATGTCTCTTAAAAATGAAACAATTAATTAATAAGTACTCCACAGATTCTAAGTATGAATTTAAAAGGTACACATCCTCATCCTTGATACAAGTGCAATTCTTAGGTTCCCTTTGTTTATAAGATACACACTGCAACTAGTTAAGGTTCTTACCATTAGCAGCTTTTAAACCTCCATCGTTAAGGAACCTACAAAAAAAATCCATGCAAACGTTCTGTCCTATTCCCACTACCACCTTGCATCGATGCTTTATTCTCTGCAATCTTAGGACATTCAGATTAACTCTGTTAACAATTCCAACTTACCCAAGCAAGCATTTTCCTTCCCATGGATAACGAGAGTTCTTATTACTCAAAGTAGAGTTCAGTTTAGCTCATCATCTCCAAATTCCAACCCAGTAATCATTTCCAAGCCTGAAATAGTAGATCATGAAGGGAACACTAAAATGGGCCAAGAATGAACAAAGCATTCTTTTTAAGCAATATACTTCTGACCATCCAATGTAAAGGCTTGAGATCTAATAGCAAAAACACCAATTCATTTCAAGATTAAGTAACACAAGAAGATTTTGACTCAGATGCACCTTCCCTCCCCTTACATCAACTCCCCAACTCAGATATAAAATTCTCTTCTAATGAGCTCTCCTTTCTCCACAAGATCTTCCAATAGCATCATCCAGGATGGAGAGAAAATGAGGATTTCTCAGTTCGGTCATTAGAGAAGGGAATTCTGAGACTGCAATGGCTAGATTATTTAAAGAAACTTTAATTAGATACTCAAAGAAACAGAGAGACTCTTGAGCCCCAGGGTCTACTTGTGCAATTTATTCACGAGACAAAGTGAAAAAGCAAATAAAAACTTTAATAACTAGTTCTCTGAAATGCTAGTAATTCTTTTTAGTTAACTGTTGTGTCTCTCTATAAGCTTTCATGAGGAATAGATAGAAGATATGTAATATGTATAGTCGCTATTTCAGTTCTAATCTAGAATAAAATACTTTCAATTATGTACCAAAAGACAAATAAATAAACAAACATCCAATTACAAGAAAAAAGAATCACAAACATGCCAAAAATGGATAACATGATTGCAGATACATTTCTTCTAATTCTAACCTGGTACACAAATTTCTCAAATATCTACCAACAGCAGTTGAGCAACTAATTTTAGTGTAGAAAGTAAATATTCAAATCCAGTCTATTTTCGCTGTTTTCCACTTATGAAATGTCGAGCTCAGAAAGCTTATGTCAAGCTAATCAAGGCAAAATCTATTCTATAATCTAAAGGCCTGCTTACAGGTTTCTATGACTATATTAGCAACCGTAACAACAAAGGTTGCTTATAGGTGTCTGCTTTTGCACCCAGAAACCTTTATTACAATTGTTTTCCTCTGCTTGTAATGCTCCTTCATGGTTTAGTTGCACCTTAGTCTTGTTTCATTCTACATCTACTACTCATTCTGTAGAAAAGGGACACCGAGTTCGATTTCCAATCTATAAAAGAGAAATTTCAACCTACTGCACAAGGCCACAGACAAAATGGACTCATTTTAATCTCAATACGTAGCATAGGAATTTCCAAAACAAAGTTAAGAACACGTATACTCTAACTGGCTCGATGTCATGTTCATCGCAAACCAGACCAGAAAGCACAATGACCAAGAGACCATCCTCATGTCGAGCAACATGCGCAGCTTGTATTCCAAGAAGCTCTATAGAATTCACTATTTTCTTTAGGTTCTTTTTTCAGTGCAAGCAAACGAATCGACGCACTATTTTAGGGAAAAATGATGAATTACTGTATCAGGTAAGACGTCAAAGAATTAAACAACCACAAGAACAAAGTGCGGAACATGTCAAGATCCATATATGTTATGTGCATGACTCTGTTTGGAGAAATCATGAAGTGGAAGAAATCGAATCAGAACTGTAGAGAAAAAGGCATATTAAAGCTTCCATCTTCAGTGAGACATAACAACGTTAAGATCAAATGGCTAATGGTGATTAAAATGAAAACGACAATCTGCACCAAAAGGTCACCTTTTTAGAGATTGAAGATGGCCCAGGTACAAGGCTAGCACATACCTGCAGTCCACTCGACTTCCTAGGGGCGGAGCCACGGCGGAAGTTGAAGTGATGAATGACCACGAGCATCAAAGAATCAAGCACGAAGAATGACCCCATCAACCCGATCACAAACAGAGCCATCCTCAGGTGATTGCAGAACAGAGCCTGCCGCTTGCCGCACGCGGCGACCTTGGCGGCTCCGAGGCCGAGGAGTTCGCCCTTCACCCCGTAGTACCTACCGGGGAAGGCCTTCTTCATCGGGGCCGGCTTGGGGATCACGTAACCCTCCTTCCCCATCTGCGACAACCGGGGACGGGTCCGACCCAACTCGCCCATTGACTCCTTTTATGCCTTCGCCCATCGCGGAAACCGACCTACCCACTGCGACGGAGACCAGTGTGATGTATTTCGCCAGTTGGTGCAAATGAAGTCTTGGAAGAAAGGGTAGAGGAAATGTAGCGATGCTATTTTGTTTTGGATTCTTACCAGTACTTGTGGTTGGGTTTAATGGGTCAAAAGAGAGGGAGAGAGGGAGGGAGGGAGGGAAGTGACGGGTGACAATGATGGTTGAGTAGAAAAGAGAAAGAGTGCAGCGACGGGGAGAGAGAGAGAAAGAAGGCGTGCGGTGGAAGCGAGGGGAGGGTAAGGAATTGGCGCTCCAACCGCGGCGGTTGCTGGTCACCGAACCTGATGTGAGCTCGTCACCTTTCACTGGGGAGTTGGAGGCGAAGGTGTTTTAAATATGTTCTTAATTTATATTTTTTTTAATATTTTGTTCGCATGTTGATCTTCATTTATAATTTTTTTAATATTTTTAAATAAATAATAAATTATTTAATGTAGGTATTACCGATATCAAATATGACCGTCCATCTTTTAGAAATTATTATGTTTGAAAATCGAATTTTAAGATGAAAAATCTCTCGAGCTCACTTATTCGAGGAGATCCGTTTACAACTAAATTTTCGAGATGAATTGTAACGTGATAACTTTTTCTCATTGATGCAACTAAGAATCATAGTTTAGGAGATGAATTATGAGAATAAAGCTCATTCGAGATGAATTATATAATTTTTTTTATTTTTTGATATCATAATAATTATGAATTAATATTATTTTATATAAATACTTATATATATATATATATATATATATATAATATGATATAAATCTATATATTGGATATTGGAACGAGGTGGGAGGCGACGTTGGTGCACACCCGTCTTTGGTGGTGCGTAGGTTACCGTCACCATCCATTGACCGGTGGGTTTGGGGCATCTCCAATGTGTGCCCGAAGAAAGCCTTTAGCCACCATAATAATAATGATAATGATAATACTAATATATACACAGATATCCACTTACCTAAGCAGAGGGCTGTGCTTATCCAAGTCTTGCACTATCATTTTTATTAATCGTGCAGATGCTGATAAAAAAATTTAGAATTTATATAATTTGAATTTTTCTTTGTGTGTTCGTCAAGGTAGAATAAAATACAAAAACAAAGAACAACCTAGCTTAAATTATGGCTTAGATATAATGATCCAACACCTACAAAAGTTGAACTTATTTTGAAACCATATGATATTATAAATATATAATCTGAATCCAATCTAATATGCTAAACCTTCACTGACTTATGCGGTGAGGACTGTAACACTACTGTAAATAAGGCTTTTTTGTGAATACAATACAAACATTTTATCTACATATGCTACTATTTTTTCATATCGGACATAACTCTTAAGACTCATACGTTGAATTAGTATTTCAAGAAATTTTGAATTAAGAGATCCCAAATACGATTTTTTTTTTTGAAAAAAGAGGTCAAAATGCATTCTAGTCGTTAATTTTATTATGTGCAGTTTGCAATAATTTAAAATTATAAATTTCCATTAGTAAACTCTGAAATATTTCTTATTTTTGAGCCTCCCTAATTGATATTTAATCAATAGAAAATATTAGTTGATCTTAGTTTCAATATTTCGTGATCAATTAGCTGATCAATTTTCATCTATTGTAATAAGTATAGTTCATTTTTGTATGTTGAAAAAAAAGATCGATAATAAAAGTCAACAGTTTCAAAAGAAAAAGAATTATGAGAAATAGACAAACGTCGAAAAGACTAAACTATTATAAATTAGTTTGTAATCTTTTTTTTACTTATAACTTTTATTTTTGATTGTTTATTTATTATCATTCACTCTAGACTCAATATTTGGTTAATTATATTTTCGATACAGATTTTTTGATCAAACTTTAAAGTTAGATTAAATTTATTATAATACTAATTCACTCTCTCCTTTTTCGTGTTATTAAGATCATGATACACACTATTTCCGACATAAACTTAGGATATAAATTTACTTATGGAGGACTTGAAGGGTTTAAGGTGTCTCTATAATAATAATCTACTTGTATAAGGAAAATGTTAAGATCGTCAAGTATTTTTAATCATTATTCTCCATTATCTTTAACGAGAACCGATGTAATTTTTAATATTAAATAATTAGTCTCAATTTAAAGCCCATTGGTCAATTTTTAGGATCAGTTTTATTGGAATGATATTAGAAGTAAAGCATTTTAATTAATCTTATACCTTGAAACAACAAAAATCATACATACATACATACATACATATGATTCTCAAATGAAAAAAAATAAAATTTGCATGTCTTCTTTGATGAATATAAAGCAAAACAACGTGATCTACACGCAATTATGGATTCAAACAAAGAAGTCATCATAAGTCAACGCTATCGTCGCCATAGCCAGACGTGCGCAAGGGAGAGAGATGAAATGAGGTGTGGATTAGAAGAAGGAATGGTAGTTGTGGGTGGTTTGCCGTCGTTGGTACGGTGTCGTCGTAAACAAGAGGTGAGAGAGATGGAGAGACTTGATCGAAGAAGAAAGTAACCATCAGAAACAAATGAGTGAAACAAGAAAAACACAAAAATATTATGATGAAGTTTCTCTATTTATTAATTAAAATGCTAGCTTAGTTCATACGTACTGAAATCTACCAGTTAAAGATCGAGGGTCTAACATGATTAGTGCTAGGATTAGTTATGCATCCTTTCGATCGATCTATCTATCTGGTTCGGTTTTCAATAGTTGATATACATCTTCTTGAGAAGCGGATTACCGAAGTGATTTATCATTTTTTTAAAGTCATTCCATTAAGATAGATAGGTTTTTCACAGTGGTGACGCCACTTGCAAGCTAAGTGTTGTGGATATGTTCGATATCATTACCGAGCACCGGTATGAGATTGGATATCTTCAAAGAATCCTCAAAATGAAACATAAGGACGCAATAATAAAAAGAAAATTTCAATGAATTATGATTCAATTTCCTTGACTTAATATAAAAAAAAAAATCAAAAGCAAGTTTTTTTTTTTATTTTAACATATAAAATAATATTGGTCTCATGGTGGACCGAATCTACTTGTTGAAGGTCTAAGTCTAATGATGATTTACTAAGACTTATTTATCAAAAGATGAGGATTTAAAACTTCATCCGAAGATGACAAATAAAAAGACTTCAATAAAAAATAATTTCATATCGGCAACTCCGATTGCAAATAATCGGGTTCAATATTTTTTTTTCTATAATAAATTCAATGTTATATAAAACACTTGTGTCAAACATCTGTTTTTAATAAGTATTCCGAAGTCTCTAAGGATAGATTATCGTAACGATCTTAGTTGTTGATAGAAAAGTCTCATAATTTAACCTCTATCTTTATCACTTACTTTGCATAAAAATAAAATTTATAATCTACATTATAAAATCGAAAACCAAATTAAAGGATTCGAGGAGAGCTAATTTTAATTACATATACAACCCAAGGTTCTCATGGCATATGAACAACTCCCCATAGGAGCACAAGACACCATCGTGATGAATTAGAAAAGCGAGCTCCAATAGTACTTACAAGAAACCAAATATCATGTATCATCAATTAAAGGTGTATGGATCGGGCTATGTCAAGACCCTCTTGGGCCACACCATGCTTGGCACAAGGCCCAGAGATGTAATTAGTTGTTTCTAAATAGAAGATCTTGATAGATTAGCATTCCACGATATACAAATCGGTTTCAACTAATTATCTTCAAATTAAATTTAATGTGACCTCTTTCTCTCCTCGTACCCCTCATGCAAAGAATATTTAAAATTGATTCAATGATTTCAAGAATCATACCTTTCTTAGAGAATAAAATCGGACAATTATTGAGAGTTTGAAGTCTCATTCACGAAAGACAAAAAAAGAAGAAGTAAAATTAGGGTATATGATTGTCATTATTATTATTGTTCTTAATTGGAAAGACATGTCTATTTGCCATACATCTAAAAGAAACGCAAGATAGAGCTGACGTGACTTGCATTATATGATTGCACATGCCTACATAAATAAACACTAATTTAAAATTAAATATAATAACATGCAAGTCGATCACATGTATACACCATCAAATAAAGCCATATGATAGTGCCATGATGTTTCATTGCATATGCTTCCGCATAAGGTTTAATTCTTTTTTCTCTAAATCTCTTAGTAAAGTATCAAAATGACTTTTTGTGTAGTATATGGGAACATATAACTTTTGGTTAAATACCAAATACTAGTCATGGAAGAAATTGGCAAATAATTAGAACATTGTTGTAAGTATTTTCATGAATAAATCTTTCATTAAATCACCACACACACATTTGATCAGAAATCCCAAACCATTGACTTCTCATATATCTTTAACCACATTTATTGAGAAACCATTAATTACAGCTTCGAGTTTGGACTCCCAACATAATAAGATCGCACTGTGGCATCATCAGTTGGCCCTCCGGCAGTTCAACCTTACCTCCCCGGCCGACCCTATCAATGGGCTGATGCTGCCCATCTTCACCATGGCCGCCGCGAAGTCCCTGTTGAAGGCCTCGCCATTCTTGCTGTACAACCTCACCAGCCCATCCGCCGGGCCGCCGTTGAAGAGCTCCTGGTCGGAGTGAAGCAGCCCCCGCCGCGCCATCAAGTCCCGGTAGTAGCTCACGTCGAACCGGGTGGGACTCGTGGCGTCCAGCCCAACCAGAGTGTCGTCGCCGCCCGCGGCCGGGCATGTCCTCTTCCTGAGCGTGGCGAAGCCCGGGTCGACGTTGGAGTCGTTGTACACGTGGGGGCGGAAGTTGGCGCACCGGGCTGCGCCTACGGTGTGCGCGCCGCAGAGCGCGGTGAGGTCGCGTAGGCTGAGACCCTTGGCGGCGAACCTGGCGACGAGGTTGCTGAGGCCATCAGAGACCGGGGGGAGGCTGGCGTTGGCGGCAGCGATGCTGGCGGTCCTCGCGTCCCGGCGGCCCAGCTGCACCGTCCATGACGGCCCTCCAAGCTGCACGCGTAGCAAGTGAGTTCTACGTAGGAGATGGCGGTGGTGCGGAGGTGCAGGGTGATTACCAGGGTGACGGCGTCGCGGGAGGCGAGGGCGAGGATGTCGGCGCAGGAGACGGTGGAGCGGCAGGCGGCCTCCACGCGGGACTTGATGTCGTCGATGACTTCGTACCCGCGGAGGGAGTTGGCGTTGGTCACCGCGTTCTTCTCGCCGATCATGGTCGGTGTGTCGTCGAGGAGGACGGACGCATCACAGCCCTGAGGAAGAAGGAAGTCTGGTCAAATTTATCTTTGGTTATAAATTAATATATACGACATTATTAATTTGATGATAGAGTGTATAAGATTCACTTATAAAATAGTCTAATAAGTAAGTACATATGTGATCTGTCATATATATATGCTTTTAATGAAATTTTCTTTTAATTTTTTTAAAAATATTAATCCGATGATAATATATCTAATCTTAAAATTTTATTTTATATTTATTTTTTACATCTAAAAGATATTAGCTTTGTAACCATCTAAATCTCAGCTTATAAATTTTTTTAATATTATAATATTAATATAATGGTAATATACCCGATTTTTCTTTGGGTTGAGGGTTTAAAATTTATACCTATAAATTTTTTGTACCTAAAATATTAGTCCGAGACGACGATATCTTGATTTATTTTAGGTTGAGAATTCTGAATCTTATCACATCTTTTGCATCTAAAACCAAAGTTGATAATTCATACTGAAATGCATTTATAATTTAAGGTAGATAAATTGGTCATGTTTCCAAAAATATACTTCAAAAATTCAAATATCATCTTCACCATTTACCATCTATAACAAATAAATAAATAAATAAACATTTCGAAAAATAAAAGGCACTTAGAAAGCTTTATTGGGGGGTAAATTACAACAACTCGTATAGCTAGCTATACAAGATACAAAATTAATGGAACCGTATAAATTGACGTTGATGATTAGATAGCTGCATCAGTTAAATTTCATATAATTGAGAAATACAGTTGAGACATACTAATCAAAATTTCATATAATTGAGAAATACATTTGAGACATACTAATCAATGATCCAATAAAATCTCCATCGTGACATGACATGATATGTGAATCGTATCTACCCATAAACTTTTGTCTTCGTCGATCCTTGAATCTTACGTACTATAAACATGACTCGAGGTCGAGATTCACTGTCGCCAAATTTTTTTGTTTTTGATGTTTTTTCTCTGTATATATGACATGATGATATGTGAATCGTATCCATCAATAAACTTTTGTCTTCGTCGATCCTTGAACCTTACATACTATAAACATGACTCGAGGTCGAGATTCACTGTCTCCAAATTTTTTTATTTTTGATGTTTTTCCTCTATATATACTTTTTATCTACTAATTTTTCCTTTGTGTCAATCGTTTAACTTTGTTAATCAATAACCTAATCCAAAATTATGTGTTTTAGAAAATATGAAACTCTACTGGAAGAATAAATTCATAATATCATAGAATTTTGAAGCCGCAAGTATGCATATATGATATGTAAACATGAAACACCTAATAGCAAATTTCATGTACCTTCTAAAGTATTGATTCATATCGATATACCAAATATTCTATGCTACATGTCTTGTGTATCAAATGGTACAAGTTTTATATTAGATATATCATTCAATTTACTGTCAAACTAGTAAGATACTAATGGGTATCGTACCAAACAGTATTGTAAACTTTGCACCTAATTAATTACAATTTGAGTAAAAGGAAGTATTAGTTTCACTAGTATATCGGAAATGTAATTAATTAAGTACAAGTTTGAGAGAGAGAGAGAGAGAGAGAGAGAGATAACAAGTACAAGATATCAGAAAATATTACAATTTGAGAGAGAGAGAGAGATAACTAGCACAATATATCAAAAAATGTTACATACTTTAAAAGGACGAGTAATCAATAACCTAATTAATGCTATGTGTTAGCTTCGATTAAACAATTTTTTTTTACCGACATTGTTTTCGTATTACAAAGGATTTATGTTTTTTTTTAACTTTTATAGTTAAAAAAACTTACAAATGCTTATGAAACATATAATGTTCATATTTGTACCTCTCGGTTCTAATTCAAAAAGACAAGATGGAAAGAAAATATAATATTATTATTCGACAATGTGGACTTAGATACAAATTTTACTCTATGATACAAAAATATCTACAAAACTCTTAGCTTTTGTTAAGTAACACTGATAAATTTATCGAATAAGATTTTAAATATTCTATTTTTTTATCATTGTATATAGTTCTACTTCATGGATTATGAGATAGTTAGAAAGAGAAAGAAAAAGAAAAGATAACATACGTTCACGAAGCAATCATGAAAGAAGAGACGAACAAGAGAGGCACCCATTCGAGGCTCCTGCCTCACGACTTGAGTCATGACTGATGCCACGATTGCTTGTAAATTCGGGCACGTCGTCACGTAGAACGTAGGCGATAACTGTGCTTGTGCTATGCACACCATTAGAGAAAGCATGACGATAGTACCAAGGAGGCCATTAGAGAAGGAAGCCATAACACAATGAGATGAATGATAACACTGCCTCCTTGTGTACACCATAACACACATATATATAGATAGAAGATTGATACACAATGCGCATCTTACAGGTGGCTAATGGGGACGTGACAATGATGTCTCCATCGATCTTATGTGTTTTTTGTTGGATCCAAGTATAGGATTAGTAGAGAGTAACAATTTGACTCAACCAAATCAAATGATCTGTCCTATTATAATTGCTAATATGATTTGGCTCAACCAAATCAAATGATCTGACTATTATAATTGCTGATATCATATGGCTAATTTGGAGAGATCGGAATGATGTGATGGCTCACGCAATGAAGTTCTATCCGGTAGATTGATTTATTCATCGAGAAAGGAGGGGCAAACATACCACAGAAAAAATCCGATCTATATAGTAAAACACGAGGAGGGATTCGGCGTTTACTTACAAAGATCGATATTGAGATTCGGATAATGACTTTGGTTCCTCCATAGGGGATATATAACTTTTGGGAGTGTTTTCCCGAGAGTGGAATTACTCACATTTAAGGACTTTCACATTGGTCAGCGAATTTTACGTTGCCTTTAAGCTGTCTCAGTGCTGAGGAAGAAGCGATGGGAGAAAGATGAGTGAAGTTTTAGCTTGGAAGAGGAATTGGGCCAGTGAAGATAACGCTGTCACTTTCAAGGTCAGTAGGTGTGAGGAAGCTGCCGACACAGCTTGCTGCTTCTGATAACTTGATTCCAACCACACCAAAAATGATTTCCATCAGGAAAGGAATCAACTGCATGTGTGACAAAGATCCACTTGTATTTTTCTTGATTTTTCCGCATAGCAACTCTTATTGTTATTATTATTATTATTTATTGTTTCAAGAGATTTCAATCATTCCAAAATGATGAAATTGTCAAAATTCAGCTCAGTTGGACTGAGCACAAGTGATACATCCTTATCATTAAGCTCCTCTCTCTCTCTCTCTCTCTCTCTCTCTAACAAAGAAGGTTCATTGATCTCTCGATTCGCTATCTTTCACTCAGCTTTATAGTACTGTTATTTGTCATCTCTGTATATAACCAAAAATATGGGTCATGCATGGAAAATTGTTGTCAAGTCTTCATCCATCAATTATGGCCCATCATGTTTCATTGAAATATACTTTATGATTCATACTTAAAACATTGGCATGATAGTGACTTACCAACACAAAACATCATCATATAAATTTTGAAGAATCTTAATGTTGATTAGGGTTTAACATCGATGGATAAGACTCCTAATTAGAGGAAGAATTAAAAGTAATATAATCCTTTATTACCTTATCAACTTAAATGGAACTAATTTGGTCTATCTTTTATTTAAATGAATTTAATTAGTTTAAAGATATTTTGTAAATGTTTGTTTGAGAAAAACAAAGCAAACGTAGAAAAGAAATAAGAAATTATTTTTTTAATCAAATCTTAACTAAAGATGTGGAAGTTTATCGATCAAGAATATTTTCAAAAGTGAAAAATGATTTTTCAAATCAAAATAAAAATATTATCTTTCTCAAAGAAAAGAAGATATCATATATTAACACGATTCTTTTTTTATTTATATATATATTTATTCTTATACTTAAGCATATCAATGAATTGAGCTCTTTCCCACTTTGTGTGTGAGTGGCGCTAGGCCTACAAAGGTAAGAGGTATTCTTGGGAGTTCTCTCGCGACAAAGCTTAATAGTTATCTTTTTATATTTTTTAATTACTTTTAATTTTTATCTCTTTATTTTCTTTTTTTATTTTTCTACCATCAAAAAGAAATTTATTGCTATTTGTCTTACATCAAATTCATTACTATTTGTCTTATATCAAGTAAGAAATATTATCTTCTCCAAAGAAAAGAAGATATCATATATTTGATTTGATATGATTATAACTTTCTTATTTCTATTTTTTTTTATTCTTACGCTTTAGCCTAAGATTATAATAAGGGAAAAGTACCATATTATTTCTACATTAACCTTATGAACTTAGATTATGATTGGAAAAAGAGAGATATAGTGTATAAAACTAATTAATGTATAAAGAGAATAAATATACAAGCAACATTAATTTACATTTGGTAATTGTTTGCAGAGGTAATTGGAAGACCCTTAGTATCAAATTTAGGGACTAATTAGTATTCAACAAAAGGTTTATAGGTTCTATAGTTTGTTATGGATAAACTTCTGTTAGAGACAAGTTTAAGGTTTTCCACAATTCATAAAGTTAATCCTTTACTACATAACTTGATATTATATTAACCTAATAATCTCTCTCTTCTTCCTACTCTCAATGCAATCTTCATTCAATAATATACTCCTAATTTGATGATGGTGGTGGTAATATTATCATCAATCTGCTCCATCTCCGATAGAGTTGTCTGGAATTGAAGCTATTTGACCATCATTCAATTATTTATTCTACTCGAACAAGAATTTAGGGATGAATTAACTTTGATCATCCATTGTACGTCCTTGCTTTCATCTTCATTGATGACAAATGCACAACATCATTAACCATATTATACTTTTGAAAGCTTTGATCATGTTCTTCAAGTTCTAACTATGTCGAAGGCACTGGTAGGACGTCCCTTGTTAGAATGAAAGCTTCACTTCACTAGTCGAAGAACCAATCATTGGGATCCTCCAATTAAATGTGATAGAGATGGCCTTACTCTCAGGTGTCATAATAATCCTTGGAATTTACTGCATCCAACTAAACAATTCTTCGTAGGCATACACACAAGATTTACCGACTCGTCAATCTTTATAATTTATGGATATTTTTATCTAAGTTTTCAATAATCATTAGTCTGTTTGTGATTGCAAACTCATTTAGTAAGGGCTTCCAACGAAAGAAATTCTTCCAATTTGTCTTCCCTCAAGAAATATCTTTTCAAACTTCTTCTTCTTTCGTATATTCTAAATCACTTTATCTTCCTTTTGCTTGTCTTTTAAAAGAAATCCATGAAACAATTATGATCCACTAATTATTTCTCATTATCATCCTCATTGTTTCGATGTTGTCGTCGGTTGTCTTCTTAATCATAGTTCTTCTCTCTTCTTCTTAAACTTATATATATATATATATATATATATATATATATATATATATATATATATATATATATATATATATAAAATTTTAGTTATGACATGATTGGGTAACCACAAGTCCCAAAATATTAAAGAGTTAGGAAAGTAGACAATATATGCTAGCTTAGGAAAGGACCTAATATATATCTAACATCCCGTCTGACATGTAAACGAAACCCAAATATATGATGTAGGATATTCAAATAATGTACTTGCATAAATATATTTAGATAAAAAAATAGAGGCATATATAGAATTCAAACTTGTGATTTGCTTTGATACCATTGGATAATAACAAATCCAAAAACTCATTATTAGAAAAAAAAATACTTCGACAGGCTTAATCGAGGGTGATTTCTTAAAAAGCTTCATTTTTTTAATTTTTTAAAAAGTATCCCTATATTTTTTTAATAATATTTATATTTTTCTATGATTCCAAAAATGCTCCTCGTCCACCATCTTCATCCATTATCAAGGAGTTGATCGACCTAGGTGAGTCGATGACGAAGAGGGTTTTAGGCCTAGGGGAGGTATAGGAGATCGTCTAGAGTGATAAGAAGGTAAAGGATGACATCACGAGTAGAGGTAAAGGCCATCTTAGGAGCGAATGAGGAAGGACAAATAACAAGGTCATACGTGGGACCTCGTAGTGTACGAACAAGAAATGATGAGAGATATTTATAAAATTAAAAAAATAGAGATATTATTTAAAAAATAAAAAAGGGCACCTTAGGGGAAAAAAATCAAAAAGATAGTTTTTTTTGGAGTTAATCACCCTTTATTTAACTCAACTAATAATTATAAAATTTAACTTAAATTATCCTCTATAAATATTTTCCACAGAGAGAAATTATTTCTTTTTATTTCACGTAAATTAACAACGGATACAATCATTGGGGGTAACAATTCGAATCATGTCAACACAATAATAAAAGATTATTACACTTCACACAGTCATACATATAATTTATTTTTTGGAATCGAGACGTGGCAATCAATCATCTACCCTTAGTTCACCTTCCTACAGTTCAATCTTATCTCCCCTGGCCACCCTGTGAGAGGGCTTATGTTCCCCATCTTCACCATGGCCACCACGAAGTCGTTGAAGAAAGCTGACGTGCTCGAGCTGTACAACCTCACCAACGAGTCCTGCGAGCCGCCGTTGAAGAGCTCCTGGTCGGAGTGCAGCAGTCCCCGGCGAGCCACCAGGTTCTGGTAGTACCTATTGTCGAACCAAACTGGGGTCTGCAGGTCCAGCGGCGCCAAGTTGCCGTCGCCGCCGAAGGCCGGGCAGGTCTGCCTGCGGAGAGCCGCGAAGCCGGGGTCGATGTTCCGGTCACCGTAGATGCGCGGGCGGAAGTTGACGCACCGGGCTTGGCCGACGGTGTGCGCGCCGGAGAGAGCGGTCAGGTCGCGGGCGTCGAGGCCTTTCCTGGCGAAGAGAGAGATGAGGTCGGAGAGGCTCGACGAGGCCAACGGAAGGTTGGCGTTTGCGGCGAATATGCTCGCCGTCCTCGCGTCCCTGCGGCCCAGCGGCACCAACCATGTTGGTCCTCCAAGCTGCGAGCAAGACGATCACATGCATGCATAAGTGCAAGCCGAGAGCGAAGGCTGTAATGATATGTACTGACCAAAACCACTCCATCACGAGCTGCGAGGGCTAAGATGTCGGCGCACGACACAGTCGCGTTGCAGGCAGCTTCCACGCGTGCCTTGATGGCATCAATGACCTCGAAACCTCTCAGGGAGTTCTGGTTGCCGTTGGAGTTCTTCTCGCCGGTGAAGGTCCGCGTGTCGTCGAGAAGGACGGACGCATCGCAACCCTGAAGGAAAGATTGGTGAGAGAAGGAGGAGTAAGATTACAGGAGGAGAAAGGGTATCGTACGTTGACGAAGCAGTCGTGGAAGAAGAGTCGAAGGATGGAGGCGCCCATCCGCCTGTCCCGGAACACGGCCTGCGCCATGACACTGCGCACGATTCCTCGTAGCTTCGGGCAGGTGCGGTCGTAGAACCTCGTCGACAGCTGGCCGTGCGCAGCGGAAGCCAGCAGAGAGAGGAGGAGGAGAGTGAGGAAGGTCTTGCAGGAGACCGCCATGGCTGACGAGGAGATTGAGTTGGGATGAGGAGGAGAGGTATGCAAAGGTACTATATATATATATGTAGAGAGAGAGAGAGAGAGAGAGAGAGAGAGAGCAGCAAGAACATTACAAGTAGATAGAGTAGACTTTGAACTATGATTTGGACTTGGCATTATAAGTGTTTTTGTTATTGAAGAGAAGACTTCCTTCTTTGGAGTACAGCTTTGAACTCTTACAAGGACATAAAAGTACTTAAAACAAGTGGTGGTAGCTTGGAAATCAAGAATATGACATCATGTGTTTTTGGTTGATTGGTTACTTGTTTTAGTGGTCATAAGAAGAACTTGATATTGAAAAAGAAAAATAATTTAAAATTTTATTGAAAATAACTAATATACAAAAAAAAATTAATTTTTTTTTATCATATGAGAACAATAAAAAAAACAGAGAAATGGATGATCCAAAATCAAATCCAAAGTTCCTTATATAACAAAAAAAAAAAGAAGCTTTTCTTATCATTTATCCGAGAAAAAGATATTGGAAGAACTAATCCAATTCTAAACACTAAAACCTTTTTTTACAAATGAGGTGTTCGTAATGACTCATGCGGTCGATCGAGACGTGAGTTAATTTATATTAAGCATGCGTATTATGTTTATTTCTAATCTTCAGGTCATCGTAGAAAGGCTGAAAACTTTGACGTTCTTCTCTATAACTTCCGTCAGAGAACAACTAAATATGTTTTCTTCCATTCTTGAATTCCTTATCCTCCAAATAACCTCATTTACTAAGTAATTTAATCTGTATTAATAATTTAAAAATACTTATTAGCTCTAACACTCTATATCTTTGTTACTGTACTAATTAAATAATTATTTTTTTGTAATATATATATATATGTCACATCAAGAGAAATTTATTTGATCTGGTCAGCTGCAAAATGTTTCTATCTGAATATTTTATTTCTTCAATTTCGTGTTGACTTATGCAAAGTGTATTGCTCACATTAACTTAATGTTTTGAGTGCCTCCGGGATGACATGAAAGCCAAAATGGCATTTCATCATTCTCCAATTTTCTATGATATATAATTTTTTTTGGTGGATACGTCATTTGGATTGGACACAGAATAAATTTCTCGGGAAAACGAGTGGGAATTGGTCTTCTCATATGATATGATACATCTTATCAAGTAAATTTATCATGTCTCTTAACTGTGTTCCTATCAGAGTTAATAATATCTGTTTTCGTTTTCTTACCTTTGTAAAGTGTTTTTTTACTAATCAACCAATACGAGTTTAATTAACCCTATAGATCCCACTAACTCATGATGAGACCGCTCAATAATAACTTGAGTATAATTCCAGTTAATTTTCATTAAATTATTCTAAAATTTTCCAAAGCTACTATCAAACTAACTAAACTAATGACACATTCTTAGTAAAAAATGCTGACTCTAATAAATTCTCAAACTATGATGATCAATTACTAATTTAAATATTGAAGGGGTTTTAGTCGAGCACACTCCTATGTAATTTTGTAGGATGATTTGTCGAATTTATTATCTTTCTAACACCTCTGCATGAAAGTGAACATAAGTTGGATTCCAATTTGCTCTATGTGTAACCAAAATCTAACTTATCAAAAATTTTAAATTCATACAAGATCCACTTATCAAATATTAAATGTTTAAAAGTTCTTCTCACACCTTAAATAGTGGTGCAGTAGCGATTGTTGAATCTCTTTTGATAATTGTGTTTATGTTTTAATTTGTATTTTGAGCGACGCAGGATGCTTCGATCATAATGAGACAATTAAAATAGGAAAAATCATATTAGGCCGGAGGAACATGTCAGAAGATTGAACGTCGGGCCGATGGATTGGTCGATGTATCGACAGAAGGCTTCGGGTCATGGATTCGGGCATCGGGCCAAGAAGAGTGGGTATTGCGTCGAGGATATCGAAGTTGCGGAGTCAACTGGCCGATTGGGCAATAGGCCATAGGAGAGGACGATGCGCCGAAGAATCGGAGGAAGCGTCGAAGGACCAATGACATGTCGGACAACTTGATTAATGCTTAGTATTAATTGTCTAGATCGAAGTTTGTTTTACATGTGCAAGATTAACTACGATGGAAGTAAGACATGTAGTAAGAGTTGCGCCGGAGTCAAGGCCATGATCACGTTGGGGGTTCGAGAGTTCGACGAAAGTCCGGACGGACGTCGGAGGTTCTGCGGGAACAAATCCGAGAAGTCCAGGAGCTTGCCAAAAAAGCTCGTCGGAACTCGCCAAATGGATTGTCGCAAGTCCAAGAGTTTACCGGAAGTTCGCCGGAGCATCGCCAAGGGTTCGTCGGATGTTCGCCGGAAGTTCGCCGGAAGAAGCGATTGACGCACCGGAGCAAGTTGCAGTAAATGTCTTAAGAAATATCATAGTTAGCATGAAGATTAAGCTAGGAATGGGAGGTGATCCTATTAACTTAATCTGGGGGCAATTGGGCTCTTGACAGACCTAAATTGGGCCGAATGGATCAGCCCATTCAGACCCAGATTTCCTGGCCGACGGTGTAACCGCCCAAGTCAGGCGGTGGTACCGCCTGGGCTCAGTCTCCGAGTGAGACTGGGTGGTGGTACCGCCCCTGTCAGGCAGTGGTACCGCCTAGGCTCAGTCTCCGAGCGAGATTGGGCGGTGGTACCACTTGAGCTCGGTCTCCGAGAGGTAGTACCACCCAGTTATGGCGGTAGTACCATCAGTATCCCGAAAATCCGAGAGATGACACATTTGAGCTCTAAATTCAAACCAATTGGGGCCTATATAAATCCCACCCTTTCCTGCATGAAAGAACAACCGAAAGCTTGATCATACTCTGTGATTTTAGAGTTCAAAAATATTATAAAGGCCAAAAGTTCTCCTCCCTCTTTTCTTCCAAGTTTTGATCATTCAAGAGAGGAGTGAAAATTCTGTAAGGGTCGTCTCCTAAGCCCATCAAAAGGAGTGAAACTGTAAAAAGGTGGTTGGCCTTCGCATATTGAAGAAAGGCCTCTAGTAGACATCGGTGACCTCGTTGGAGGAGGAAGCCGAAAGTGGATGTAGGTCACGTTTGACCGAACCACTCTAAAATCTGGTTTGCATTTCCTTTGTACTATTTATCTTAACTATAAACTGTCTTCCTTACTTTACTTCAAATACGTTTCCGTAAGCTTTCAAAGTTATTATCTGCACGAAATGATTTTTACGTCGGAATCGGATTTTAATGTACGAATACAGTTTTAATCGTCGGAAGTTTTCGACTGCACTAATTCACCCCCCCCCCCCCTCCATAGTGCTCTTGATCCTAACAATGATATACTGTTTACTTATGAAACATTGAAGGTGTGAAATCTTATTTGATATATTTTTGAAGATATTGATTAACTCAGTTAGTAAAGACTTTGATTAATTATCATAAGATTTTGAACTCGAATCTCATTTTTATCGTTTATTCTTTAAAAAGAAATTTTTTTTTAATAGACAATGAACTAAGCAATTGAATGAATCAACTATTAGACAGACTGTTAAAACAAGTGGGCAATTGGATAAGATAACAGTCACATCTCGTTAACCTACCTCTCAATCTGTGACTACGACGGAAACACAGTACTGGAGAGAGAGAGAGAGAGAGAGAGAGAGAGAGAGAGATCGTACCTTCTTCGTTGACTCCAAGAAGCCATTCGAATGTTTCCGGTGATTTAATGAGCTAATACTTCATCAGCTGGCCGACTAATTAGCTTCATGACATCAATGGCTCCAAGTGTTAGTAGACGACCATGTAAATGGTCAGACGAACTAAGAAAATTAATGGTTATGTATGGGTTGACTTTTATTTTCCCCCCCGTAATGCATGGGTTTCACTTTATTATGTGTTAGAAATTTAATTAAACTTATATTTTGTTAAAATGTAATTTAAATTTTATGAAACGTGAAGTTGGATGTTAGTGTTCGGATAGATTTTGCTTTGGTAAATTGCAACAACAAATGTTGAAAACTGTAGCAGCAGCAGCAAATGTTGAAGTCGACCGCAGCAAATCGGAGGGTGGCAGCAGCAAATGTTAGAAGACGGTAATGGCAAATGTAGTTGGTTTTAGATTTCGATAAGGTTAACGCTTTCAAATGTCCGTTGATCTCCAAGAAATATGGGATGTGTTTGTGATCAAGGCAAGTCAATGTAAGAAGAGACCAAGGGAAAATATATGTCAGTGCAATATTTAGCCCTATAATTGACTATATTTAACATTTCGATTCTTATATGGATATCTCAATAATTACAAAAGTAAAATATTTAGATTTATTTATCATAACGACGTTAATTTTATTGATGGAAACACGAAAATAAAAATAAAAAATAATTTTAATATTATAGTTGGTAGTTGCAAATGACGTTGATGGTGGCAGATGGTGATGACATTAGTGCCACGTCGACGCAGTTGCCAAGCGACCTTTTTGTCGCATTGCATTTATGTCGGCACTCCATCATCGTGGAATCGAAATTCGTTGTCGAAGCTATCGCGGAGATCCACGACATTTCGAAGCTGGATCCGAAGATGCACAACCCCCTTACTGATGTTAGCGTCGTGTCCCTCCTTCTCGGTCGCCTCCTCAACCACCACCACTCGTTTGTGGCCAAGGCCCAGGAGAACATTGTCGTGTCCCTCCTTGTCGGTCGCCTCCTCAACCACCACCACTCATCTACGGCCAAGGCCTAGGAGAACATCGTCGTTGCCCTCCTCAACCTCCCCATCTTCGCCCACGAGGTGCTCATGTGCACCCCGTTCATCCTCGATGCCCTCGTCGTCACACTCCACCTCTCCCCCACACACTACCACAACCCTTTACAACATTCTTTCCATCGAAGTGTACTACTCCATCATCAGGTCAAAGAAGCTCCTTATTGTCGCCCTCATGGTCCTCCTTAAGGTCCTTGGCACGTCGACTAGGTCCATCAAGCACGCGCTCAAGATCCTCTTCGGCCTGGCCATCTATTGGCTTAACCGCATTGCCCTCGTTGAGCTAGGTGTCGTGCCGCCCCTCTTCGTGCCGTGGTGAAGGATGGGAAAAGGGGAGGGTGTAAAGGATTACGATGGTGAGGGCGTTGAGGATGCCCAAGGTGCACATGAGAGTCTTGCGGGCGGAGATGGAGAGATTGAGGAGGGCAATGACGATGTTCTCATGGGCCTTGGTCGCAGACGAGTGATGGTGGTAGTGGTTGAGGAGGTAGGTGACAAGGAGGGACACAGCGTTGGCATTAGCGAGGGGGATGTGCATCTCCGGGTCATGCTTCGACAGGCGACGGATCTCCGTGATAGCTTCAACAATGGACTTCGATTCCGTGGCGATGGAGCACCAACGCAGATGCAGAGCGATGAAAGGATCACTCGACAACTACATCGATGTCGACGCTAGTGATGCAATCATCCGTCACCACTGGCGTCGTCCGTTACCACCAATTAAAATATTAAAATTTTCTTTTTACCCATTATTTTCATGTTTTTATTGATAAAACTAATGTCGTTGGATCCACCATCACCGATTAAAACGTTAAAATTATCTTTTAAACATTTATTTTCATGTTTCTATTAATAAAACTAATGTCGTTAAAATAAACAGACTTAAATATTTTATTTTCGTAATAATATAATATTTTAAAATATAAAGATCAAGATGCAAACATTTTAAAATGTAAAGACCAAGATGCTGCTATAGATAGCTAATCCTTGCCGATCTAGAACTCTCTTTCACAACATATTTTGAAGAAAATGAGTTGGTTTAAGAGTTTATGTAAAGTTGGAAGTTATTGTTAGAAGAGAGGATTTGACGGTTTCCAAGTTGATAATTTTTTTTTTTGTTTAGGAAGTATAAATAATGAAATTATTACCTAGCTAAATTGATAAATACTTCACTATATAATCATACCGTGAGTTGGAATTCGGCATTCCCCGTCTGCACTTAACAGAAGATGACTCTCGAAGTTAAATAACGCAAGACATAGTTCCAATTTAAATAATAAACAAGATAATATAGCGATCATTTTGTATAATAAAAAAAGGAGTTTAATATTTTTGATATAAACAAGATAAAAATCCTTCACGTTGATAAAAATAAATAAAGGTTATAAAAATGACAAAAAAATCATGTGTGTGTGTGTGTGTGTGTATATATATATATATATATATATATATATATATATATATATATATATATAGAGGATTTTTTTTGTGAGAATCAAGGAAATAAAAGAGAGATCAGAGGTAAAAAAATGAATTGTAATCAAATAACAGAAAACAAATATCACGAATCTATAATCAAATAATAAGAAATTAAACTAGCTTTGTCTCAAATAAAATTTCTCTCAGATGAAAACCTTGTACCTTCACGCCTAAAATTTGAGCAATGATTGGTCCAAACGAACAGCACCAATTCAATAAATCTATGTTTCAACATTAAAATTTGTTAATCCAATAACTCTCACACGATTCACATATAATATAAAAAATACTTAATTCATTAATTGGTGCAATAAAAATAAATACATAATAAAAAATTATACATATATCAAATCAAATAAAACATTTGCTCTTTCATCCATGTTCTTGATTGATAATTTTTTTCAATTCTTATTGAATAATAAAATTTTCATTTAGAGTTAAAATCCTCAATCAAGATTCAGAAACTTCAATTAAAATCAATTTTTAATTTATTTCCTTTTTCTTATCTGCTTCATTTTTTTAGTTACCTTGAATAATCTAAAACACTATACTAAACTGGAAACATGTTGTCAATGTGCACAATATCTCTCAAACTAATCAAATTTATCCAAAATAAGATATTAAAAAAAATGATCCACCATCACGAAATATGATTCAAAAACAGAGTACATCCATATCTAAGCAGACAAAAGGAACAGACAGTTCCAACAATTCTAATGAACAGACCAATAGTAATATGGAACATCACCCTTCCGCACCGGTATCATGCCTTTAACTCTTCGAGGCTTGCTTCTCCTTGGCCTTCTGGATCTTCAAAACCTTCTTCACAATCTTCTGCTCTTCAACTAAAAAGGCTCGAATAATCCTGCAAGTCCAATAAGGAGATTAGAAACATAGAGCCAAGAACAAGAAGCAAGTAAGACGCAAATAATGCCTAGTTTAAGCGGCTTTCCCCAACCTTTCCTTCACAGCACTTCCGGCTAGCACGCCACCATAAGCACGATTCACAGTCCTCTGGCTTCTGGCCAATCTAGACCTCTTGTACTCAGCAGGTCTTAAGTGAGGTATCTGGAAGTATGAAACAAACAGCATCATCCATTTGAAAGAAACTTATGAAACTTGAACCTCATCAAGACAGAATTTTGGTCAACACTAGAGAAGTAACAGTTCAAGAAACTAATGAAAATGATCCTAATATGTACTGTATAAAGCATTTCGTATTGAACTAACAACACATACGCACAACATAATAGCAAATGAACACTATAAATCTGGAAGCAATATTATATTATGAAAAATGCCATAAACTGCCTTCAAATAGGATTGCAGCAAGTTGTTAAAATGTAGAACAAAAAAAGTGTAAAAAGATGAATAAGAAAAGCTATATTCTGGCATCCATCAGAATTATTTCTTTTTAGAGGGTAAAACTCATGAATCAGAAGCAAAGTACCATAGGGAACCTGTAATACAGAATCTTCCAAGTTCAAGGTTGAGATAGTAACATGCTTTATCATAAGATGTCCAAAAATTATATTTATAAATCCGAAAATTAAAATAACAGCATCACAGTAAAGCTTAATATAAAAGTATAAGCTCCAAAACATGTGTATCTACACAGCATCAAAACATTAACATCCTAAAAAGGCTGCTTTCTAACATATTGTTGAGAGACCCAAGCCAATAAAATCCTACACCAAGAGTATGATCCCAGTAGAAATATAAAATGCTCCGAGTAAATACTTCTATCACCACAAGGTAGAGCCTGAAAGCGAGAAAGTTTTTTACAAATATATTTATACCCTCCACTCCTGACTCATCATGACATGAGAGAAAATAACTATTGGTGGAGCCTCCTGATCCCATTACATATTATTAATTATGATGCAAATTAATCCTGGACCAGAATCATACCCCAAGTTTGGATAGTTGGTCCATCATTTACAGGTACATCTGAACTGCCTAATATTAAACAGATCATCTCCAGAGAATAGTTTTTTATTCTAAAATATGTACTATCACTTTTCCTACTCAGGGAATTTGACAGTTCACACATTGTCCAAGTCCTCCATAGTCCATACCTGGAAAATCCTCAATCACATATTATCACAATTGATTACTTAATAATATCATCTTCAAGCAGATAATATATATTAAAAGAATCTTAATATAGAAACAGAATTACACAATTTTTGTAACAACATTTTGCTTAATGAACCAATATTAACAAAAATGGCTTGGAACATGTTAGTCTACTAGGACATTACATTAAATCGAAAACATTATATTTAGAAATAGAACACAGTGATTTAAAAAACGTTAGGCGTCGAAAGGTACTAAGGTTCCCAAATGACCGACGCGCTAGATGCTCACCCAAGTGAAACGAGACGCTATGAAATAAAAAATATACAATATAATTAAAAATATAATTATTTAAATAAAAAATATGATATTAAATTAAAAATATATTGTTAACAATATATTACTTAAGTTAGAGGGGGAAAAAATATTCTTTGAAATACTAAATATAAAAAATATATAATATAATTAAACATATAATTATATAAATTAAAATATGATATTAAATTAAAAATATACTGTTAACAGTATATTACTTAAAGTTAGAGGAGGTAGAAAAAAATATTAACAATAATAGAGGGAGATAGCAACAATGACGGAGGATTAGTTTAAGATAGTTATGGCAGTGCTGCGAACGACAGCAACGACAGCGACGAAAGCTGTGGACAACAGCAGTGAGGGAAGCTGCGGACAGTAACGATGACAACGGTGAAAACTGCGGAAGCTACGGATAGCAGTGGAAACAACAACGGAAGCTGCAGACAACAGCAGCAACAGCGGCGAAAGCTACGGACAATAGCAACGACATTGATGAAAGCTCCAAAGGGCATCCGTCGATGGTGGAGAAACCTGCGATCCTCTCCCTTGAGAGTGGAAGGAAGCTATGGGGGCCGTCAGACTCGTCCGTCGACAACGGAGGAAGGCTCGGTTTGCTGCGACTACAACGAAGGTAGCAGCAGAAAGCGTCAGTGACGGAGGCAAAAGCAACGCTAGGGTCACGCGAGCATGAAGCGTGGCTTTTGAGTTAAGAAACTAAGAACCAAACCAGCCTTAAACCGGTTCGATTCGCCTAATTGAATCGAGCGCTCGCCCGAAGCGCCCAACGCCTGCGTTCGAGCGAGCGCCTCATTGAAGCGCGATGCCTCGTGCACACACAAGATGCTCAGGCCTCGCCTCACCTCGCCCGACTGCTTAGGCGAGCGCCTATTTAAATCACTGATACGAAGATTAAACATTTTCAAACAAAAAGAAAATAGTGTCAATTATGCATCCGACAAAAAAATCTATTTTTTTAAGAAAGCAAATATACTTCAGAGAAGTCTAATCCTATTCGTGCACTTGATCATTCGCAATCTGTGGGGTTATCAAACATAGCATTACGGAAACAAGCAAAAGATGACATAAACCAAAGACGATGTAAAAGACAGTATCACTACGACATAGAATTACAACGGCAGGTCAAAGCCATCAACATAATAGGCTTCTTTTATGTTCATATTTCCTGACATAGAAACAAAATCAATCACCAAATATATGAAGAAACACTTGTATAGGACATTCACTAGTAATTCATGGGATACATTTGACCCAACAATTAAGCAAATCTACAACGAGAATGAGATAAATGCTTAGAAGCCTACTCTTCCATGATGAGTAGTCATCAAAGATTCCAATAGCGTGTCAGAAGCAATGAATGGCATACCCCTTGGATTCTCTTGCCGGTCACAGGGCAAATCGGCCCGCTTGCTCTCTTGTTCGTGTACTGGTATACAAGCTTCCCACCTACGTTTCCGAATCGAGCACAGTAAGCAAAAATTCCAATATTATACAAGCAGGAGACAAAAAGGATCTGCCAAACCCCAGAACGGAGGAAGGAAAGGGCAAGATTGGATCTTTACCTGGGGTTTTGACCACCCTAGTCTGATTCGACTTGGTGGCGTAGCCATGCCGCTTCCTGTACGTCAAGCGTTGCACCATCTCGCCTCACGATCGCGCTCCACCGCCTCTTCTCTGAAGCCGAAGGCGAAGCAGAACCCGAAGGAGCCGAGCGGCGATGGTCGGGTGCATCGTTAAATTGATCGCCCGCCATAAATAGCAACCTAGATCCAACGGTTCGTATGTCGAGATTAGAAATCTGGGATGGATCTGGACGCTGGTGATCGAAGATTTCCTGGTGAGGCAGACGCTCGTTAAAAGTAGGATTAATTTTCTTGATAAGATCATTTTAACTGATTTAGATTAGGCCAGTATAAATGGTTTATTTACCACGGTAAACAGGGAAGGAGTTCAGAATTGTAGTGGGACATCATCATGTTAGGATGAGCATAAACTAAGAAAAATTAAAATAAAAAATAAAGGATGAGCATAAAAACAGCCACTTTAAATGACAAGCATAAAAAACAAAACGATTCTCACCTAATTTGACATCCAGTTTTAGATTTTACAAATGACATCCAGTTTTGAAATTATCTTTATAGAGTATGTATCCTAATTTGATCATTCCGGAAAATAAAGAGGATGTATACAATTTAGAATATAGTTATTTTTAATAAAAATTAATATTTTTTAATTAATACATAAAATATTGATGTAATAGACTCGCTTGGAAAAGATAAGAAATGAAAGGTTTCGATAATTTTTATAATATAAAATATTGATCTGACGTACTAAATTCATTTATGAAAGCTTAAAAGTTCCAAAACTCGTTTCAATGAACGTCGGATAGTAAGTTTTTGAGTTCCAATTATGTTTTTTTTATCATTTATTTATCTTTACAAAAAAAAAATTTAATTTGGGACCTCACTGGATCAAGAGGGTTCAACAAATCTAGGGTGGTTGCCACGTTGACTCAAAATCCATTATTTTTTAAAATTCCCCTGGATAATAAATCATCATATACTTACTTTAAGACCTATTATGAATCAAATATCAAAAATACATAACTTAAAATTAGTAAATGATTCATCAGCTATGTTATATACTCGCTATACATTATTGTCGATGTGGGTCAACTGTCCCCTATATTGTGGCATCATTTAATTTTAAAAAAATTAAAAATATATATTAAAATATATTTAAGACAATAATACTAAACCAATAATAACATAAAAAATTATTAGCACCAGTAGTCGATAAATGATATACAAAGCGCAGAAATAGTTGACTAATACAATAACTAATTCAACTCGGTCATATAAACATCGTCAATTTTTGGAATCCAAATATGCAAGGAGATATGGCTTTTGCTAATTCCGATGTCAAATCAATCTAACATACAGCAGATCATCATCAGTCACGCTATCATTATCAGTAACGCTAATTTACATGATTCAAGCCTACACCATGACAATATTCGGTCATATTAGAATTAAATTTCCCACATGCCAGCATTCATCGGTTAATAATGACAAGAGGAAGACATTTGCCAATGGATGTTTCCTGATATATTCCTTCACATTTTGTGTAACAGATGTTATGCAAAATCTAAGGATGAACTCCAAGATGATTTAATGATCAATCTTGTGAGCCAAGACTAACAAAAAAAAAAAGTCTCCTCACCTGCACTAAGTGTCAAAGTCTTGAATGGATATTGCCACTAACTGTTGAACGACCTCTTACCAGTCATCATGTAGACTATAACTCACATTCTAAGTTACATTCCAAGTTTTTCTTACTAAGGGAGAATTTAAATTAAGTCACATTCTAAGTTAACAAAGTTGAATAAAGCTCCAAACAAGAAACAACAGTATCCAACCAACAGTGATGCCAATCCAGATACAGAATTCAAGCAAAAGACCTACAAAATGAAATCTTGTAGCATCAATGACAAGACGAGATGACCTATGTCAGCCTCTGGGCAGCTTCCTTAGCTAGCAGCTTTTCTCTAGCCTTGGATTTTGCCTGAGATTTGGTGCCCATAATTCCACCACCCCACTTTCTCCGGACCTCATCAAACTTATCATTGAAGTTGGCCTGAAAGAAGAATCAAAATCATTATAGGAAGACTTCCCTAAGCATACAGCTAAAAGTTGCACTACTGTTTAGTTCTAATGTTCACCTTGATGGCTTCCAGGATTTTGCTAAATTCCAGTTTATCCTCGTTCTTCACAGTGGTCAGACAAAGCACCGATGCTGTTTTCTTATGTACGATCTATCAGAAATTCAATTGACAACAACAAATGAATATGTCAGCAATGAAAATATGCTGCTTCAATTTCAAGCTTTAGCAGAATGTCAATGACAAAAGAGAGGGGCACCAACCGCTCCCAATCGGGCTTTTCCTTTGACAATACAGTAAGGGATCTCCATCTTCCTGCACAATGCAGGCAGCCAAACTACAAGCTCGATTGGGTCCACATCATGAGCGATAACCACCAATTGTGCCTTGTTCTACAGGAGATTGCATCAAGAAGTTCTCAGTGAACACATGTTGCATCTTCAGTCTATCGTACTAAGCAAGTAAAACAGAGCATGCAATCTGCAGGCATACACACTAATGGGGAAGAATACAAACCTGTTCAATAAGGTAAGTGACATGATTGAGCCCATACTTAACAACTATGGGCTTCTTAACTTCAACAGTCTTCCCTTCAGCCTCAGCTTGTGCCCTCTTCAGAAGCCGTTCTTTCTTTGCAGCTCGGTCTTCAGGCCTGTACTTGAGAAGCATCTTGAAAAGATTTGTAGCTGGAAAAACATTATATAGACAGATAAGTGGGACGACAAATACATAAAGGCCAGTGATCGAATTAATCTTTTGAAGAGAATTTTTGTATTAAACAATAACACCGTAGATTTCATCTTCTTAATATATCATATGTACACAAAATGTCAACACAGTTCTCCAACAGACATAAGACCTCCATCACAAAAAAATATTCTGACATACATGAAAAATAACACATGGATGTTAAGTCATTATTCTGCCAAAAAGGCATCTAAGAAGTCTTCTTTAATTTAACAAACGAAGAATTTAACCACAAAAATAAATAGTACCTTCAAGCATCAACTATGAAAATTTTATTTAAGAAACTAACAATGGCATCCAACATAAAAGAGCTGTTATTTAAGAAGGCATTGTCAAACTTAATACATGGAAGTACGGCAACGTAGAATACAAATCTATTGGATATGAGAGCATCACAAAACAGAACATTCAGGGTAAGTTTCAACCGAATTGAACTATATAAGTACAATATGCATCAACTAGACCCACAGAAATTCCATACAAAAAACACCAGGATAAGATTTAACCAACTAAAGTGACTGACAAGAATAATGTCTGCAACAGATAAAAGAATGAACATAGAATTCTATGGATGTCCTATTGATGGTCGGCAATATGCTTTGGCATTTAAATACCAGTATTAGGCAAATTCAATATCCAAACGTTCTAAATCCATTCAAAATAAGATCTCCAAAAAAAGTGACCATAAATATAAGTGTTACAACTATTATATGGAACCATACAAAAAAATTGTAGCCAACATTACATGAGACTGGTTTTACAAAACTTATCAGTCCTATTTACGTAAGATCCACTTTCACAGAATTCAGCTCATCTCAATCCTATCAATTAAAGCAATGTCATGCATCTTGTCTACTCCAGAGTGTGACAAGCAAAAACATTGACCCTAATCCTAAATCCCTGTGGGATATAACTTACATCAGAATCCATTAGTTGATGCAGCAGTTCTCAAATTAAACAAAATGAACCCATGGCATCTGTTCCAAATTATTCAGGAAAAAAATCAAATTCTTTGGTCTTTACATATTTAAATTGAACCAGCAAGTTCTTAAATCTCAATATTTGGTACCTATACTGATCCCATGTCAACCAGTATGATTCAGTATACCAACTGGTATACATAAGCTCATCAAGAATGATAAACGGAATGAAAAACAATCAAACAAGATATGCTAGTGTTTTTGTTCCCTCTTCATCTTTTCTTTTGTCGACAGACTGTAGCTGCTTCTAGCTAACTGCGCCAGAACCTCGTCTCTGGTTCATATTCTTTCTGGTTTCCTGGCACACTCAGCAATTAAGGAAAAATTAGCAGAACCTTGGCCCCATTTATGCAAAATGTTTGAATATGGTTTAAGCCCAAATTGGCTGAACCGACAAAAAAAACCCAAAAAATCATTTTAAGTGGTATTTTAATATATTCTGTATATCAGAGAGTACCAGCTGATTCAAAACTTTTGTTCATTACTGAACCCACTGGGGACTTCCCATGTTGGTCCATGTAGCATGGTTTTTAAAACACTGGACTGCAAAAGCAAAATTGTTGAAATTAAAATTGAATGGTGCATTTGGAAAATATGGTAGGAGCATGATCCCCCCTATAAACAATTTGGTCATTTCCTATAAGATCATTATTGAGACCGAACATAAAATTTAGCATGTGATCAATCCTACCAAGCAAATCAGCCTGGAGGAACAATTTTGTTGCTAAAAAATCATCAAGTAGCCTAAATTCCCCAAAAAATGGGCCAAGTTTGTTTATAAATTGGTAAGGACGAATTGGAATTGCTCAGAAATACCAGAAAGTGGTTGGGACCACACAAGCAGAGAAAAAGCTGATCATGATTCAACTGGCATCTGATTGACGTGCAATAAAGTTGCTTAAATCAAGCTGACCAATCATGAGTAGCTGATGTTGGCCAAGCCAGTTGGACATGACCGATCTCCATTATAATACTGAATTCCAATTGAGTCTAGCATAATTACTGATTCTATCAAATCTACCATTTTAGATCAATGAACATGATGTGGGTACTGAATGGACATCATTTACTCCAATTAGGACACCCAGGACTTGTAGAATAGAAATAGGTAGCATAGCATATTTTCTTAGTCATCTCAATTTCTCTATTTTTCATGTAAAATCCAAGCTCCCTCAAGGACTATACACAAAAAAAAAGCAAACGAATGGAACTTTCAAACAGTGATTTAAATAGGCGCTCGTACTAGACAAGGCAAGGCGCGAGCGCCTCGTGTGTGGACCAGGTGGGACGCTTCAATGAGGTGCCGCCTGGGCACTCGCCCAAACTAAGGCACCGAGCGCTTCGAGCAAGCACCCGGTTCAAATAAGGCAACCAAACCAGACTTTTAAGTCTAGTTCGGTTCAACAGTAGTTAGTTGGTTCGATTAAACCAACTAATGCAGTTTTTTACCCTCAAAAGCTACCCTTCACCCTCGCACGACCCCAAGCCAATCCTAACGCTGTTTCTGCCTCCGCTACCGACACTTTCTACTGCTGCCTCTACCGCAGACACAACGAACCGAGCCTCCCTCTATCATTGACGAACAGGTCCGCTAGCCTAGCAAGAGCCCGTAGCTTCCTTTCACCGTCGCTCCGTATGCAGTTCCTTCCACTATCGAGGGAGAGGACCGCAGGTTCCTCCGCCACCGACAGACAACCTCTAGAGCTTTCATTGCCGTCCGCAACTTCCATCGTTGTCATTGCTGTCACGACTGTCTTAAACTAATCCTCTACCACTATTGCTACCAATTTCTCACCGTTGTTGCTGCTACTTTCCATTGTCAGTTTCCACTGTTAGTGACCCATTTATTCCCCTCTATTATTGTTGACAATAAATTTTTAATTTAATATCATATTTTTATTTAAATAATCATATTTATTAATTATATTATATATTTTTATAATTCAGAATGCCTCGCTTCGCTCGGGTGAGCACCTAACGCCTCGAACGTTTTAGAACCTTAGTGCCTAGAGCTTTTTAAATCACTACTTTCAAGTATCAAATGGCCATAGAACTTTGATATTCACATTTCCTAGATTAATAAAACATTAACAAAGGAACTATAAACTTACCCTCTTGTATGACCAGAGTGAAACTGTCCTGACAACTGACATTAACAAAGGAACTATAAACTTACCCTGCTGCATCAATAAAGATGAGATCTATCACCAATTTCTTTCCACCGTTTCTGTGAAGCTGACTAAATTTGGAAGTTCACAAATAACAGATCCTGAGTTGTTATGTGCAGAAACATGCCACGATTCTCCAAAGTTCCATGGTTACTCAAATCATTGAATTAAGATAGGCTTTGCCATTTAATGACACTAAAAATGGCTCTTCCTCTATGGTTCTGTAGATCACTGACCAAAGATAAGAATTGTCATTTTCATGTACTAGCTTCTCAACCTTACAAATGTGAGAATATATTCAAGTATATCACTTACACTCATAAAATCCAAGTACTAACTACTAAATCATGTCATTACACTAACTTGTCAAGGAAATGAGGCAGCATGGAAGATACTGAAGATAGATCATATTGAATAGTCAAAGAAACGATGCAGGATGGTACACGGGTGTTGGCATCAAGCAATCCTTACAAGGACAATTACTAATTGGGACAACATTTTGCAAACAATTAACACACTCCAGTGACTATCTGGACCACAAAAAAATCTAGATCAGGGTATTTACCACCAAGAACATAGAGAAAGAGAAAACTGAGGATGATGAAATAACATAAGTATACTAACCCATCATCGACAAAGTATGTCAATAGCACAGGCAACCAAACAGAAAAAGTAGAGGAAGTTCCATCATCTTATAACTAAATTACCTGATTAGTTATAATCATCTTATAATCAATGCGCAATAATATAATGCATGCAGAAACCCGTATACAACCAACAAAGCGTAAACATATTTCCTTATCTTCTCTACCGCAATGTGGAAATTAATTTTGCTGGCTTGAATCTGCTATTAGAATCTGAAACAGCATAACAGAAAAAGGAATAGAAATTTTTAATCACCGAGGTTCTTGTCCAAAGTCCGAGTGAACTGGTTAAGAGCCGGAGGAACCTTCAACCGCTGCTTCAATATCCTCCTCTGCCTCTGAATCCGGACCACCTTGGGCCATTTCACGAACCGATGCAGATCCTTCTTCGGCGGCAGTGCCCCTCCGATTCCGAACTGCTTCGGGCGCTTCTCAAACAAGGGGTTGACGACCTTCTCCTGATATCCAAACGCCAATAATAAGTAACAGGAAAAAAATTAGGATGTAAATCCCAAAAAAACATAATCCAATCTTTACTACGAATAGGATCGATTACCGGTTTCTTCTTTCCAGGAACGGGCACCTTAACACCTCTTTTTGGAGCCTGGAAGGCAAAAGATGAAGATTGAGAACATCAGATTTCTGCAAGAGGATGCTTGCAACAAATTTCATAACGCTATGAGAAGTTTTAATTATTTAGATCGGCAGATGGATTGAATTCTTTGGAGGAGATGATAGAAGGAGATAAGATTCAGCATGCGTACCATTTCTTCCCTCCAGGGTTAGGGTTTCCGCTTGGGAGACGGCGGAGACAAACTCGAGCGGACGCGGACGTGCTTATGAGAACAGGCGCTGTGACACGATAGGGTTTTGAAGCATGTCCACCGCACGTGACATCCTCTTCGAAGACTAAAAGAAAGAAAAAAGACATTTTACCTTTAAAAAAAGAGTTTTTTACCTTTCAAAAAACCCTAATAGGGAGCTTTTTACCTCATGAACCTCCTAATTGAGTTTGGAGATTACTATTTATAATTTTATTATTATTTATATTTTTATATTAAAATGTTTGAATATTCCTAAGTTATCTTTTTAAAGAATCATTAGTCTCCTATAATATTCCGTCCCTATACTTTTAAAAATAACATTAGGATTTTTATATTTATGAAAACGAAACATTAAGATTTTTATAAAAGATTAAAAAGATAATTTTATAGAATTAAAAATAAAGGAAAAATATTAAAATAATGAGGTTAAATATTTCACTTGAAGTACAAAGATGCGAGTACCAAAATACTTCTAATACTAAAATTACAATCATTTTGTGTTCGTAGAAAGGATAGAGTTGACATCTCTGTTGACAGGGCCCGGCCTTGGAGTTTACCTGTACAAAGTTGCAACTCTAACTGTTCATCTTCTTGATCGATTTGCAAGTGTGTTAGAGACCTCCGTCTAATTGGAAGTCACCCGTATGAGGCAATCCTTTAATGTATCCCTCCTGCTCTCTAGTATAACCTTTGCTGCATGAGCCAATGTTCTATTTTTATATACACAAAGAAAAGCTCGAGGTGCTGTTGTTCTATTCCTTATGATGTATACAACCTATGTGGTCTTAAGTAATTTTGTAACGGCGTTGTCCAATCGACAACATTTAGTTATGGAATATTGTTGCATAATTGATTCAATTGCATTTGTTTTCTAGATTAGATTTATAGTTCTATGCATAGTGCACAATCTCTGCTTCTATTTTGAGTAAATTCTCAAGAGAATAAATACAAACAAAAACTATCCTATATCATCGACTCCACTAATCCCATCAGTTCTTTTTTCTTTTCTTTTTTTGGGTTAAGAATGCTGTACTCTTTTCGGTTGCCAGTTGAATGATAGAAGCTTTGTTTCAGAATAAAACAAATCACAGCCATATCAGCCTCAGGAAAACCAAAACAAGTAACTTTGTCATATCTATGATAGCAAGACTATGAACTTACAAACCTAACCCAATAAAATGTAGTATAAAAATTAATCTTCATACTTTGTGATCAAAATGCTCAGGTTACAGATCAAAAACTGGAAAAGCAAATAAGTCCATGGCATACTATAAAGTCAACTGTTTTAACAAGACTAGTGAACTACAATTTGAAGAACAGGTTCTGGGAGATTAAGTGATCTTAAACAGTGCTTGATTGAGACTTGTTGAGGATAACACCCTCATATTTGACCTGGAACCACTTCATGGCGTCCTCCTTGGTAACCCTATGCTGGATTCCAACACGTGACTTGCATCGCCGACGACGGGCCACACGATAACCAGCACGTTCCAACACCACATAGAAATCCATTCCATAGATACCGGTCGATGGGTCATACCTACATAACATAGACATAGCAAGGCAACTACAGTCAACACTAACAAGGGAAGCAACTAAAGACACATGACTTCCCATCTAATGCAGATCCTAGTTTAGAATATAACAAAACACAATGTGCAATTTAGAGAATCCTGCATGAGTCTTCATGGAATGTTTTAAATGAATCATGATTGGGACATCTGATATCCTACCTAATGTAGGACAAGTAGCTCAAGTGCTAATTTGAATCAAGGACAATCTTCAAAGGATGAAGGTCTTGCAATTTCACACATTTCATGTGAATGATGGAACTACACCATCAAGAAAAAGATTATGGTCTCACGACGCACGTGGTAAAATACATTCTCATTCATCCAGCCATGTGTTTGAATAGCATTCTTTCCCTCTTTAAACAGCCTCCCAAAATAAGAAAAGAAGAAGAAAAATATATCTAAATAAATCATGTTCCATCAGTTATGGCCAATTAATCACCCTTATACTCTTTTGGGATAAAATCCATGCTCATTTTTTCCATTTCTGGAGTCCTTTCACTCAAATATATCACCTCGATTTCTTCCATTTTAGGATAGTTACCTTTTCTTATGCTTTGACAATCTTGGTTGCCATATATCTGATGCCAAGCAAGATATATATCTGATTTTGCCATATAACATGATTTACCAAAATCAATCTAAGATCAAGTTGAAAAAAATAGCTCTGGGATTACTAATGGTGGTAACTTCTAGTTTGATACAATTGGCCTCAAAAACAGTTGCATTAGGCTCAATATTTAACATCCTTCAAGAGGAAAAGGAAACGTAACTACAGTAGCTGCCATGTTCCTCTTTTCTCCCCACATTTCCATTAGTCTCAAACTATAGAATCAATCTAACCCAATCTCTTCTCATCCCATATGTACCATTTCTAATACTTCAACAGTTGGAAATTTAAAGAAACAAACAACTATCAAAAGCAAAAGAAGATCAAATATCTTTGCGCGTTATAAGGAAAGATGAGAGAACAGATAAGCAACAAGGAGCTAACTGAAAATTCTACATGGAGGTAGAAGTCCAAGCACACTTGGCAAGAGTGATTAAGCATCAACTGGTTATGGCAAGTTGAATAAAATCTTACATTTTCGGAACAGCTCAAGTTTGTTGAAACATGATGGAGCAACAAAAACATAGTAACAATTATGTTACATAAGCCTGGGTCAAGATCAGACTCCAAGATTAAGCTCGACTTGAGTGTTTGGGCAACCCATCCAATTGTATATATACTTAAAGGTAATATGTATAATCCACATGATAGGTTGATACATAATGAAAGTCTCTAAATAAAGCACTACATGCATTAGACTTACATGCTATACCTCACCAAAACCTGATCATCTCTTTCCCAAAATCCCAATTCACGACCTGACACTTCTCTATGGCAACACTAGGAACCATCCTTACTCCCAGATCATTTTCATCTCTCCTGTTGCCTCTACTGTCTACCTTCCCCCCCCCTCTCTTCTTGAATCTCTAACCTTACCATTAATCTATGTTCCTCTCTCACTTCTTCCACAGAAAATGGGACTCAATTCATATCAATTCAACTTAGAATAGAACTCCAAGACCCAGTTTGTCTGGCACACTTGAGCTTTCAGGTTAAGACAATACCACTTGTAAGAACTACAATTAAGGATGTCATTCCATTTTTCTTGTCTGGTTGAATTACACCAATTCTAATAACCAACAATGAGGATATCCTAATTCTACTATGATCCATTGAATTACCATCCTTTTAGGAAGACAAGTGAAATCTCACCAATTGGAAATTTTATACATGTGTTTTAGGTTATTAGGTAGACTAATGGAATATCTATCATGCCCAATTCAGATCAGTGTTTATCTTGTACTTGTCGGGAGTGATGGAGATATAGACTTAAGCTGGATGACGGTGAAAACATTTGTCTCCTCATCCTAAATATTGATAATTACTCACCTTTAAAAGATTATTAGAATTTTATACACCATTACACGAACAATACAGATCCAGATATTGTTACATATCAGAAGGTATGAGTTAAACATGTAGGCCTAAATATCATAACTTACTTTTGATGATACATTGGGAGTTGTACCTTTCGAGGTTCTAAATCTTAGTCACTTTTTTAATCTTTTCACAAGCTAGCACTCAATCTTATAGCCTATTTTTTATGTTAAATAAACCATCAAAATCAGCCCACAAATAATAAAAAAGATATATAAGAATATACCTAGAAGAAATATATAGTCCCCAACTTAATTTGCCAAATAAGCCAATAACCACAAATAAAAATGTCGCTGGTCCCAGATTCATCATCTCATTGCCCACAATTAGATATAGAGCTGTCAACCCTATACTCCCATCTTAAAAGAAAGGATGCATTTTTTTTCTCTAATCTAAAAAGTACTTGTGATACGGAAGGGACAAGGGTCAACTGTAAGAGAGATACTGTTACAAGATAATTCTTTGGATTAAACATCTCAACAGGCATGAACAGATAAAGAGACGGATACTGTCCGGAAAAAAGGCTATGGTTTTCGATATTAAATGAGAAGAAGCAGAGGGTGGATTCTGGCTTACTTAATCCCGAGATCAATGTGCTCTTGTATGCCAAAACCAAAACAGCCAGTATCACTGAAGTTTCTCCTCAATAACTCGTACTCCTTCACTTTCAATCCACTCTCCAAGAGTTGCATTGCCTTGTCACCTCTGACAGTGACATAGCACGCAATCTTTTCGTTACGCCTGATCCCAAACGACCTGACAGTATATCTTGCTGCAGCAGGAACGACCACATCAGGAGTCATGAACAAGATCAAATATTGAGGCTACACATCGAGTAGAATCTGAAAGTAAAGAAGAATACAACACCCTTTGAGAACACTGGTGTCTGCCCGCTCAACTGCTCCAAGACCTGCAAAGAAAAAGGAAGAAAACAGAGATCACGAGCACAAGCAAGCTTGTAGAAGCGGACAGAAAAAGACGCGACGTGGATCCAGTATACCTTGGCGGCTCTGGTGAGACGGTCACCGCTCTCACCGACCGAGATGTTGAGGACGAGCTTCTGGACCTTGATCTCCCTCATCGGGTTCGACAGCTTCTTCTCGGAAGCCTGCGAAGAAGAGAGGAAACAAATACGGCATTAGGAAACAGAGCCGGATGAGGGAACGTCGGGTGGCAGAAGGGATCTACCATGGCGAGGATCGGAAATGAGAGGAGGCAAGGAAGCCGTGGCTAATGTGCCGAACCCAAATCTTATATTAGGGTTCCGCTCGCGCACGGGCTGGCGAACCAAATGACCAATTTGCCCCCTAACAAATAATTTATTTTTTATTTAAACACATAAACTAAATTTTGGTTAATTAGGGAAATATATATTATTTATGAGTTTTTCTTGGGAGATGTTTTATTTTTATTTTTGTTTAATATTCTTTATTTGTCATAATATCTGAAATATTTAGGGACAAGATAAGTGGATCAGATACATT